TATTAAAACAGCTTCCATCCCACAGCCATCAGGGCATTAAGTAAAACAGAATAAATGTGCAATTACTGTTCTTTTATCTAGTTTGTTTTGCATTTTTCTACAATTTACCTTTGACGCCATGAAGGAAAACTCAGTTTTGTACTTGTTACAATGACAGCAAATATATTCTTATTATTTTATTTCTCCCAGGAGTAAAGTGGCATCCAGACGAACATGGCGTCATCGGCTTCGACTGCAGAAATCGGAAGTGGTGAGTTTCCATATGAGGAATCGTTTGTAGGGCATTCCTATTCAYTTTCAGTGTAAAGTTTTAGTCTTATGAGAGGGAAAGAACAGGCGTAGAGTTTCCAATTGCAGCTTTCGTCTTCTCAGAATTTCACGCTATGTGCTCCGAAAGCTTTGACCAGCAAAGACAGAAAGTCTAATCTAACACCAGTAAACGCATGTACAATTTGCACCTGCACCTGCAAAATCATGCATCTATTCTCCCCTTACTGCAGTTATGTTCTGTATAACTTACCTTCGTGTCACAGGTACATCCAGGCAGCAACGTCCCCCAAAGACGTGGTGATTTTAGTCGATGTCAGTGGAAGCATGAAGGGGCTGAGGCTGACAATCGCCAGACAGACTGTTTCCTCCATCCTGGACACTCTGGGGGATGATGACTTCTTCAACATCATTGCAGTTTGTTTACCTTTTTTGTCTGCTTTTGTCTGTGTTTCAGTCACGTACCTCCTGGTTGGCTTTTTGATTCCCACAACAAAAAAACAGTTAATTGTATTTTTCTGCTATGTTAATGCAACTTTTTTCTTCCCAGTACAATCAGGAGATCCACTATGTTGAACCTTGTCTGAACGGTACTCTGGTCCGGGCCGACAGGACAAATAAAGATGTGTGTCTCCGTCTGTACATCTGCTGCACGACACAACAAATTTATTTAACATTAAAYGTCCTTTTTACCCATTTTTGTGCTTCTCCAACAGCATTTCCGTGAACATCTGGACAAGCTGTTTGCCAAAGGGATTGGACTTCTGGGTGAAGCTCTGACCGAAGCGTTCAGCATCCTGAACGATGTGAGTCTCACTCCAGTAAACCTGTGACCTTCAGTTTAATGAGGAAAGCTGTTGAAACGTTTGTCTTTGAAATTTAACTCAAAGAAACCAACATGAACACATCTACTCTTTTCTTTATCTTTACTAATTTTCTAGCCTGGCCCTTGCCTTCCTYCACAGTTCTGCTCAATTCTCCCATATACAAGGATTGCTTTGGTAGAATTTTAACCAGGTCAATCAGCGAACAGCAGAAGGAGRTGTGAACGACGACATAGATTTTCTGCACCGTTTTAGTCTGCCTGTAGTCTAGCAATGGCAGCGGAGGAAATGAATGAAGCCAGTTTGTGTTGACATGGCTTTCAAATTAAATTAAATTTGTCTCACAATGCCTGCAGCACTCATTTACAGCCATCTCGTTTGGCTCGGTACTTCTCTCTTCCCAGTAGGGGATGGTTGTTTACYGCACACACAATTTCTGCTTAGCGTCTTAGCMTAGCTTCCTTCATGGTCGAGCTGATGCACTACATACATCACGGCCAAACGTTAGCAATAGGTTAAATTAGATCTGATCATTTTAAACTTCAACAGAGGCCACGCCTCCAGCAAGAAATAACATCTCAGACCCTCCATATGAAGCAAAGCTTAGAACAAGGGTCTGGTTTTTACCAGGCTGCTAAATTTCTGAAAATAGTTATTATTCATCTTTTAGTTAAACATACATTATTTGGCCATACCACCCTGCTAAGTAGGGTCAGGCCTGATTGTTACTTGGATGGGAGACTGCCTGAGAATGCCAGGTGCTGTAAAACCAAGGAGTTTACTGTATATCGAACAGCTGGAGGGCGCTAAAACCACGTGACCGTGTGATCGGCAGGTGAAGCTAACGGCTAACGCTAAACGGACAAGACTCTGGATTTCCCATTACTGTACATGTTGACAACAGAGCAGAAAAAAAGGACTGACGATGTAGAAATCATGAAAACTATTAAAAAATAATACTGTATTAACCCAATTATTATTAATATTTTACAGTTTATATAATCTATCTAATGTTTTAAATAATGCCAGAAAAGCTGTTTGTGTTATAGATTTATTAACAGAAGATAAACAGGAAAACGTCTCATTTTACAACACAAGTCAGCAGATTTGATCTTATTTAGCTCAATGTGATCTGAGCAGAACATAATGTAACAGTTTAAAATTAAAATAATCTTATAAAGTCGATGTAATTACTGTTATTRATTGAACTGGTTAGCAGATATTAGCTTGTGGAGCATATATACAGAGTTTAGCTCCGTTGAATCATGCTACAATTTAACACAAATTATTAAATATTACTTTGTCCTCTGATTAATATTTAGACCTACAGAGTGTAAAATAATATTATAAATGTGAGTAGTTTTAGGTTTCTGTCAGAGGAACCTGACAGATGGAGATGGTTACTGTAGCTAATAGAGACAAGTTTCATCCTATAACCAGAGAACATTTTCTAACTGTTGACTGGTAAATATAAATATTCTTATTTTTTATGATAGTGAGAAGAAATAATAAATATACTTTATTACTAACTGAAGTCATCATTTTTCAACTAGCTAAAGTTTAAGTTACAGGCTGACTTCAGGTGTGGATTAGATTGTTGTTCCTTATAAATTATATATTTTTCTGGCATAAATCTGCTGTTTTACATGATTGTTGAATGAAATTAACATAATTATTAATTTATTGTAAAAACGTGACTGATAATCTGTGAAACAGATCTGGTTTAGCTTGATGTTTATCTATTAGTTTCTATGGAGGCTGTGAGCTGTTGCCCTTTTAGACGCCATTTTTGCTCCTCCATGCTGTCACAGACACTACCAGTGTACGGTATGGGCGGGGCTCAGTCTAATGATCTATATATTTAAGTCTATGTGTAAAACCCAATGTGGGAGTTGCACCCACATTGGTRAGTAGAAAACCTTTGACCATAATAGGTCGCCTTCTAGAAGGATACCCAATCATCATCAATCCAATCAATTCTACACATAATAAAAGAAKAGGAGTTTCACCTGATCAGAACCAAACTTTTGTTTTACGAGTKACGTTTGTTTCCATAGACTGAATGCAGTATTGAAAAAAAAAAACAAAAGAAGAAGAAGAACACGCTCCACTCACTCACATTTGAACATTTGGGAGGTGTGTCTCCTGTCGAAACGCTCCGCTGCGACTCCTGTTCCGCCCTCCAAACGCAGACACATCCATTCTGAAATGTGATTAATGGCTCTAATTAACACCAATGATTAATATTGCTGCTGATTAGAACACGGAGAAGATAAAGCCAGGAGCCGAGCCTCACTCCCTTTATCTCCCTGTTTTCAGGCGAGCTTCAGCTGTGTTGATGAAGCTGAAGGAGCACAGCTTTTACCTCTGCATTTGTCAGATTAATTAAAGCTCCGCAATGAATATGGTAATCAGGTCGCRGGTAGCTGAGCTTCACAGCAACACAGATAGCCGGTGAATTAAGTTAATATGCAGCCTATCGAAGGCCCGATCGAAGGGGAACTCTCTTCAAGCAGAGGTTGAAATTGAGTCAGTGAAGTGAGAGTATTTCTGTAAAACAAAAGGCAATGACTGCTCCCTCAAACAAACTAGTAATACTACTAAAAACACTATAATTTATTGATTTGATGACTGATTGAAGCTTTTATTTGAAAACTTTAACATCTAAATTATTTTTGCTTCAAAGGCAGTTAACTGAAAATCAACAACAGATCACTGCTAAAATCAATTATGCACACAGTTTCTGTACTTATGGTTAAACAATAACCCAGAGCACAAACATTCACACAAAGACCTTGGATAAAAAGTGGAGGCTGAGCCTCAGAGAGTAAACAAGGAGCTGCTGTCAGTTTTTAATCTCCTGAGAATGATGAGAACCTTCCCCAGACCAGACCAAGTTCCTCGTCACTCTTTATCTCTGAAGACATCTCATCATGTGAAATCACACGGTAAATTAAATTAGTACGCTGTTTCAGCTCATAATGATGTTTATGATAGTTCACTGTCAGGCTGTCATTTTTCATTTCTTTTTTTACAGATTAAGAGTAAACAAGAGCAAACAAAACTTCTCCTTGAACTGAAAATACATATTTTTTCCTGAAACTGATGCTGGCTGATTACCATACTGAGCTTTTTGTTTCTTTCTGCAGATTAAATAGGTCAACAATCTGTGCAAAGTGCTGCATGTTGTTGATCTCAAACTAACCTTTAAAGTAGAAGTGTTTCATCCTCTGTGTTGTCATGCTCTGCAGAGTCTGCAACAACTGAAAGAGTGTTTTTGCCATCTTTACAACAGAACAATTACATTCAGAGCTGCAACATCTAATTGTTTCTGTCACAGATGTAAAGCTGTGTACACGGAACATTTACAATATTTCATGCACATATTGCAGAAATATGGATATCTTAACTGCTACAACTACCTGCTCTTGTCATTGTAAAGTAAAAATGACTCAGGTTCATGTTGAGCAAAAGGAGAAGGAGCCTCTTCAGAGGAGATTAGGAGCCACATGTGGCTGCAGAGCTGCAGGTTGCAGACCCCTGCTCTTTAATGTTACAAGCAACCAGACTTGTTTGTAATCTTTAAAAGTGCTCTAGAGACTTATTTCTTTAGGCTTTCTGTAGGTCTTTCACAGTTTTTTCTGGGGCCTTTGATTGCTTTTACACTTTTTCTGTCCAGCCTTTTTTACACATCATTATTGGAGAGGCCACTGGATCTTCCTTTTAGTTTAGGAGCTCTTTAATGTCTGCGTGACTAAAAATGTCTCTTAAATAGCAAGTACTGACAGAAAATAAGTTTTAAAAAGCAGTCCAAGTAAAACTTTTGAGAGACCTTCAGAAAAACTGGAGGCAAACTGTAAAAAAATAAAAAGAGAGAGCACTTAAAGCTCAAAAGTGTTTTTATGTAAGTGAAGGACCTCTGAATGATACTCCTCCTGTGTGATTTAAGAGCAGATGAGCTCAGCAGTATTTGTCCTGTGATTGTGTCACTGAGTCCTTTGGCTCCACGTTTCCACTGTTGCAGGTCAATAAAGCACTTAATTACTGCACTGCATCTTCTGGCATCAGAATAAAGCACGCCGCATTGTTCAGGGTTACTCCAACACAAAGTGTTGCTATTGACCGAGGCCTTCCTCCCGTCACTAGAAGTCTTTCTCCTCGCAGTGTAAAGAAAAGCATGAAGTATTTTATGTGTTGTTTCTTTCCTGTCTGTAGTTTAATCAGACAGGACATGGCAGCGTGTGCAGCCAGGCCATCATGCTCGTCACTGACGGAGCGACGGAAATGTACGATGATGTTTTTGAGAAGTACAACTGGCCAGAAAGAAAAGTAAGATTTGACCTCTTTTTGTTTTCTTGTAGTACACAATTTACTTTGTTGCACTTTTTTGTCCTGAACTTTTTTTGCTCGTGCTGCAGTTTTCCTGCATCAAGGCTGTAGTGCCTTTAAATCCTCAAGCTCCTGTTTGACGTTGTGAAGAATTGGATTTTTACTTCATTACTACTTTATGATGTAAAATCCATGTCAGTATGAGGTTTTTTTTCCTCCAAGATGTTGATGTATTACAAGTCTCTTTTTCCACCCCAGTAGGAATAAAACATAAGAAATTAACAGCTTTCAACAGCAGACTATGTTTAAAAGCTACCCTGCCTCGCTTTATTTTTCCAGACTCAACATCGACTTTAAAATCTTTTGTCCGACAACGTTTGTAATATCTAAACGCAATTGAAAATAAATTAACAACTGCGCCATTCACAGAGCAATAAAAGCAACAGCCCGGGGGCTTTTGTTCAGTTCTATAGAACATATGTGTGTTGGCAGAGTGTTTGGCAAAGCACAAGGCGGTGTTTGGCACCCCAGCTCCCCCCACCCACCCGGTCCACCCCCCGTACACACACACACCCTCGGGGCTGCTATGTGGCAGCCATTCAGTGTTTTCTATATGCTTTATGCTTAGCAAAGCATCTGGAGGCAATGAGCCGTGCAGGTCTGGCAAAGTGTCACACGGTGTTCTCCGAAGGGACAGTAGCACATGCCCTCATCCCCAGACCCCCAGCAAAAAGAACATTTATTTGTGTTTTACTTAAAGAAAAACATTAAAACTGCAAAGCTCAACAAAAAAAAAGTTCAAATTGTTTTTAATATGAAAGCTAGATTGATGAAGCAAAAATGACTTTGTCATCACTTTTATGTCTTTTTTCCCTTTAATCTGTTGTCATCGCTGTGTTTTTGCTCAGGTGCGCATATTCCCCTACCTAATTGGACGGGAGTCTGCGTTTGCTGATAACCTGAAATGGATGGCCTGTGCCAACAAAGGTTTGAGACTTTCCTTTTGATCAACATTTACAACGAAAGCTTCGCATCCAAGGAAAGAAAATGCTCTGATGTGTTTCTGTTAATATGATGGATTAAAGATGTGTGGGGTTTGGTTATGTACATCTATCTTGTGTATGAGTGTGTGTGTGTGTGTGTGTGTGGTGGTG